GTATATTAAAACAGTATCTGCAGTGCTTTGTCAATTACAATCAGAATAACTGAATGTATTGATTATTACTTATAAAGTTTGTATACAACAACTCAAAGCATGTCAGCACAGATAAAACTCTCTTTGAGATGCTCACTGAGACTCATCTGTGAATAATCTTAATGAACTCATGAGAGTACACTATAGAGTGTGATAATGTCTGTGAATGAGCTGAGAGAATTCAGGAGATTCAGAAGAAAGCTCACAAATTCTTGAGAAAGGCTTAAGAGTATCAGAAGAGATACTATGACTTTAAGTATATTATAAAGAGTTTTAAGAAAGATGATAGAGTCTGACTGAGTCTAGAAAACATCATTATATAGAGATCTAGTAAGAAGCTGAATCTCTTACAGACAAAGTCTTATAAGATTATAAAGAAAGTTAGCTCACAGTTCTATAGATTGAAATTATTATCTGAGTTACAGATATATAATGTTTTTCATGTCTCTTTGCTCTATAAATATAAGAAATTCTTAGAAGAGAATTCTGTGACTCATCACTCTGTCTGTAAAGCACTAGAGAGTGAAAGAGAATATCAGGTCAAAGAGATTGTTAACTCAGAGAAGCAAGATTATAAGCTCTGATTCAAGATTCAGTGATAAGAATATTCTGATAAGATGAATAAGTTTACTTGAGAATCATCTGAGCAGATAAGATATCTGTAGAAGCTGAGACATAACTTTCATACTATGAATTCTGATAAGTCAGAATAATACAGTCTTTGCTAAGAACCTGATTATAATAAAGATATTAATACTGTTATTTATAAACTCTAGTCTATAAGATGATGAGTTTCTACTGAGATGAATAGTCTGCAGTGTACATAAGAAAAGAAGAAAACATGTTCTTATTAAAGCTAAAAAACAAGAAAATAAATAGAGCTGCAAATACAATTTAGAGATTAATAAAGAAAAAATAAAGAAAACTCACACTTATATTATCAATATTCATAACACTTAATCTTCTCATAACTATCAATTTCTCTCTTCAAAGAAGCAGAGAGCATTATATCTGCAGTATAGATAATTATTGTATTTGATATAAAGACTGTCAGAAATGCACAGACTTCAGAGAAGCTGAACATCAGAATATGCATAGTTACAGCAGAGTCTTGAAGACTGATCATCTGTATATGTGATCAGATATCTCTTATAAAGCTGTATTCACTCTCTCAGTTATGCTGAAGTATTCAGTCTGAAAACAATGAGAATGCAGAGAGAAGACTTATCTGTTCAGATTAACTTCTATCATGAATTCATAATATTTGCATTGTCTTGATTATCTGAATTTTACAGGTATCTGAAGACTCATCTCTCATTGACAATGAGATTGCAGAAATGCACTGTGGTACAAGAATCATTGATAGAGAATCTAGACATATTTATATATGCCTGGTCAGAGATTGTGTAAGTAGAAAAGAGATAGTCATAGACCTGCAGAGCTGCAGAAGACACTGATAACATCAGAAGCTTTACAAGAACTGTCAGCTAGAGTCTGTAAGAAATTACTTGTAAGAAGACTTACAGTAAAGAGAGAGACTGTGCTGCTTGAAGTCAGAGACTGATCTGAGAGAGATAGAGAATTGACTGCTGATCTGAAGATCAGATGCAGTGACAGAGCTGAGAGAGATAAAGATATAATCATAAGTGATGATGTCTCTGCTTTATCAGCTGATAAAAAGTGATTAGAGAAGTTGCAGAGATGCTCATAAGAAGCTTAGTAATGATTAAATATTATTTATAAAGAGATTGAAATTGAAAAAATTTTTATTCTTGAAAAGTTCTTGAATTAATATGTGATCACTGTTAGAAACACTCTCTCTCTGTCATCTGAGTGAAAACACTTCATGAATAAATGAGAATACTCACAGTTTGTGAGAATGAGAGCTGTTACAGAAAAAGAGAAAAGAAGATGAGATTTCATAGACAGATCTGAGATATTTATACTACTCTAGAGAGGTTTACTTACACTGTGAGTGATTCTGTGAAACAGTCAGATCACTCTAGTAAACAAGAGTAATTGTAAATCACAGATCTGAATCTTTCTATATAACTACAAAGAGTAATTACAGACTGTGAATATCTTGATTCTACAATTCTACAGAGTTAGTGAAAGAATGGAAAATTCCTCACAATTCTACAGTGTTAAAGAGCAATGATTTGCAAGAATGAATGAAAGATTAACTTATAAATGTTTCTCTTTAATAAGAGTGATCTCACAGAGAGTGATTCATCTGTGAGATGAATCTATGTAATAATTACACAAGAATCTCATGAAAATAATTGAGAGTCAACTGAAATTCTTCTATATGAAAGATGTGAGATAAATCTGTATAATAGTCAGAGAAGAATCTGTAGATCACAAAGAATCTTACAGAATAAGAAACTAAGTGACAGACTCTTTTCTTTTCACAGTAACAAGAGATTTTTCCTCACTGAGGTTTTTTATAGATATAAAGAATTTTTAGTGAGTATCACTGCAGTGCTGAGCTGACTATGAAGTCACTCAGTGAAAGGCTTTACAGACAAAGTCTTAGAGAGAGAAGAGTATGTAAGAAATCTCACTTCTCACAGATTCTTTATCTCTATTTCTATCTCTCATATAATTAATAGAGCTAGCAGCTCTTGACTATACACAACTATATAGACTGAAGTTCATGAATACTATTCACAACTCAGCTTGAATACTATTATACATTTAATCTCTATATTTATCTTTCTATCATGAACACTTCTAGTAGTTAATAGTATATATCACATCAAGCTGCAAACACCCGAATAATCGCCTGCGAGCACTTATTCTTACAATTGTATATTTAATATTAATCTTGTCTCACAGAGCTACAGTATTATCAGCTTTCAAGATTTTAATAGTGATTTAAATGTTTTCAATAAGACTTGATAGCATACATCTATATAAAGACTTGAAATGAATTCTTCACTTCTCAGAGTTAATATAATGTGTAAAAGAGAATTCTTATTGAGTTCTCAATAGAATATTAATTTTATCAATAACTTCTATATCAGTTAATATATCAATATACCAGACTTCATAATTAAAGTCATTAAATGTGATTACTGATTTGATATCTAGTGTATATTTAACTTTCTTCTGATATTCTCACAACTCATCTCTTGTAGTGTCTCTTTATACAGAGACAGATATAGTGAGATATTAAGTGATTTCAGCTGCAGTTATCTGATTCTGTAGTATTATCTGTATAAGATTTATAAAATTACCTGTGATGCAATAGATAGATTAATTCAGATCATTATTAAAAGTTAGCATTCTGAGAGTAAGAAATGATGAAGAATTTAATGAGTTAAAATGAACAGATTCTGCAGATAAATATTAATATTAACTCTGCTTTTCTTTATTCTGAAGTTTCTCTGTTATCTCATTATCAAATTTCATACTCTGATGAAAACTGATCTCAGTCTCATCTTGTAAGTCAGAAGTCTTCTTATAATGAGTGATTATTCTATCTATGAGTTATCTAGTGAAGTATGTAATTCTGAGCCTTGAGCTGAACTCTGAAGTAACAGATATATTACTTATATTAAGATAACTCTACTTCTTCTAGATATGTAAAAAAAAAAAATAAAAAAGTGATATTCTTCACAATGAAGAATATACTTTCTCAAAAATATAAAGTATATAAATTTACTGACTGACAGATTCAGAGAAAATGAAATATCTCTAATAAAGAGTAAGAGTCTTTTCAAAAAAAATAAACTATCTCTCATTAAAAAATATTGATACAATATTTTAAAAAGAAAAACATGCCATTCAGACTATAATCTGTAGAATAGTTAAAGATTGTATTAATAGATCTATCTACAGGAACATAATATAGTGGTGGGTCACGTGATCTAGTGGGATCGCTAACCGCAACGGCCGTAAGGGCCAACAAGTTACACTAAATGGATAGGTTGGGGTGGCACGTGACTAGGGTAGGTGTAGTAATCACCGACCAACCGCGGGACCCCCAACAGAGGTCAGGGTCATGATTATGTAATGAGGTCAAGTGGCGCACTTAGCGAGGTCAAGTTTTCTGTATACACTGCTGTAGGCTACTAGGGCAAAAGAGCTCAATCACCACCAGCGCACTGCTGGTAGAAGGGCCGATCAACCGCGGGACCCCCAACACATGCCGTGTATTGATTATCAAGCACTTAATAAGCTTATAATTAAAAATGAATACTCACTGTCACAGGTTTAACAGCAGTTGAATACAGTCAGAAACATCTGATATCTATCAAAGATTAATCTTCTCTCAGAATATTGACAGATTTATATAGACAAACTATCAGTATCTTGAACGAGGCCACATGTATTGTTGTCCAGTGAGATGGTTTTACAGAACGTATACCTACCATTATTCCGGAGACTACTCCGTCTCTCTAGACCAAGCAACATGCGACCACCGCTTCACCTGCGCAAATGGTGCAGAAATGGTTATTCCAATTGACGGGCTCCGAAACAGCAAGACCACACGCATGGCACATGCACGGGAACGGAGGCGCACGAGACAAGCTGCAAAATGTATGGTCTGCCTACTGTGCAAGAGGCTCGGACTGTTATTATTGCGAAAGAAGCGCGGAAGAAAAGGGACCACGAGTCACGAAGCCGGTATGAAGCCGTAGTAGAGAAGTATGGGACAGAAATGCGCTGGCGCAAGAGACCCCGGGGTTATTGATAGATGTATAAAACGGCGGATAAAGCGCAAGAAAAACCTCGGACTCTTAAGGCGGACTGCAGGGAGATCGCGGAAGATGATACAACTAACTCATAGAAGCAATAGGATTTGGAAGTGAAGAGGAGAATTTGAACAATGTACTATATTATACCACACAGATTATCTGTACCAAATATGCACAGTATATAAAATATCTGCCTCTGCAAAGTGATCTGGAAATACATATTGCGGATCTACGTATTTTGATTACGCCCTAGTGGGCTGCCAGCGCGCCAAATCCCGGTTCTACATTGTATCACAGTGACGTAAGTTTACCAACCCAGCATCACGAAACTCGCTTCATCTTCCCGTGATTATTTGGCATCCATGGCATATGGCCCGACTCTCTCACATCGCTAGACGCAGACTCATAACTAACTATTTGCGGATACGCTCTATGATATACTGACTGCCCTTCGTTGGTGTTTCTTTTGGGCGCACCACTCCACGAACGATTATTACCTGAGCTGATTGGACTCTTTTGACTCCCACTCCTGACTTTCACTCCCTCTCATACACGAATTGAAACTTCACTCCGCCAAATCACGAAATATCACATATCTCTTTGATTTTAAATAAAGCGATATCTAATTCCGGGATGGTACATAACGTCCCCCAGCCGGGACCGGCCAGGTTGAAGAGAAACGCGGGTCCAGACGAGTGGCTTGAAGCTGCGAAAGATTGTAAATATCTCTCAGAACATCATATGAAGCAGCTATGTGAGATTGTCAAGGAATTCATGATGGAAGGTTCATATCCCCGAGTTGTTCTATTCTGCGTTGAAAGAAAAGTTCAAGCTCATGGCGGAATTGCTGCTAAAGCCTCTTCTATCTACAGAGTCAAACATCCAGCCGGTATCCGCCCCAGTAACAATATGCGGCGACATCCACGGCCAATTCTACGACCTCCTCGAACTGTTCCGTGTTGCGGGTGGTATGCCGAATGACAGCAATGTCGAATCGCCAACAGCCCCACCAACTATTATCACGTCAGATGACATCGAGCCACCTTCCTCCATCACAGATCCGAAATTAAGAAGGAAGATTAGGCAAAATGTCGACGGGCCGAATACTAGCGACGCAGATGAAAATGTCGCTTCTTCTGCTGCCGATGAGAAGTCGGAGGACACATCACAATTGAGCGGCGTGCCCAGCGGGAATTTTATATTTTTGGGAGACTATGTGGATAGAGGATATTTTAGTTTAGAGACATTGACATTATTGCTCTGTTTAAAGGCTAAGTCTGTATTCCCTTAACGTTTCCTCATTTTACTTGCTGTCTTCTCCTACCCTCACCCCTTTATGTCGCAGGCACTAACGGTACCCCTTTCGATTAGATACCCAGAAAAAATTACGCTTGTCCGGGGCAACCATGAATCCCGACAGATCACACAGGTATACGGATTTTACGAAGAATGTTTTCAGAAATATGGCAACGCCTCCGTGTGGAAAGCGTGCTGTCAGGTGTTTGACTTTATGACTCTTGGGGCAATAGTGGACGGGAAAGTACTCTGCGTACATGGTGGCCTGAGCCCAGAGATTCGGACACTAGACCAGGTGCGGGTGGTTGCTCGAGCTCAAGAGATTCCACATGAAGGGGCCTTCTGCGACCTCGTCTGGTCGGACCCGGACGATGTAGAGACGTGGGCCGTGAGCCCGAGAGGAGCTGGTATGTTGCTATCCTAACCTTTGGAAAGATGCGTGCGCCGTCAGATTGAACAACTGACTAACACAAATACCCAATTTTTCCAATTTTCTAGGCTGGTTATTTGGCGACAAAGTAGCCGAAGAGTTCTGCCAAGTAAATGACCTGACCCTGATAGCGCGCGCACACCAGCTCGTGAATGAGGGCTACAAATATCACTTCCAGAAGCAGAACGTGGTCACTGTATGGAGCGCGCCGAATTACTGCTACCGATGCGGGAATATGGCATCCGTGTGCGAGATAGGCGAGGACTTGAAACCGACATTCAAGCTATTTTCGGAGGTGCCGGATGATATGAGACATGTGCCAAATATGAGGCCCGGGAGGAGCGAGTATTTCTTATAGATGTTCTTGTTACATTTTTCTCCTCTTTTCTAATTTGGTTTTTCCCCCTTGTTTCTTTTCCCATTTTGTCCAACTTCTTAATGAGGTGATGCCTTTTTCTATTTCTATTTTTGTCTCATATCAGCTTCGAGTATCCCCATCATCCCCTTTCTCGCGCTGTTTTGCGCTGTATATATATACAAGCCAGTTTCATTCATCCGCTGCACAGCGTGCTTTTGGACTTGTGCTCCCGGTTGGATATGATATCCTTGTATCTTCTTCATCCATCCATCCATCCATCCATCTATCTATCCACATACCTACCTACATATGCTCTAGAAATAGTGAAAAACGACATACAAGGATGTGTGAAGAATGTTTGAGAGGAGCTTACAACTTCACACTGACAGACCATCGTTTGCGTATTGCTCTCTTCCTTCGTCTTCCTATTGGTATGACACTCATAGATATATATATAGTGCACATGAACTTGCTACTGGCGAAACAACTGCTATAATCTTTCATTCCCCATGCTCCCTACATGTATATATCCCCTTCGCCCTATACACATGTACCTATCCCATCCATGTGAATCAGAACAGGCACGCAGAGTTACACGTATCTAACAATTTACTTTTCCATGTCAAGATAGCTACTACTATACCTTAAGGTTAGATATATAAAACTTATCTCATATCAATTCAAAATTCCATCAACTAGCCCAATTACCTCACTCTTGCAATAAAGCAAACCTTGAACCGTACATGCCAACTGAAAAGGGGACGTTCGAGTTTCCACGTCCAACCACTTTTACTTTTTATTTTTATTTGTACTTTTATTTGTTTATTTTTGTTTAATTTTTTTTTTCCTTTCCTCTCATATATCTCCCCCACTTTTGTTATATGTATAAACGGTTGAGGGGTAAGTCAAGTGTAGTGTTGGAACCAGCCAGATCTTAGGCACTCAGTGAGCGGACATATATCCACAATATACGGGTTTCACAAACTTGTCATGAGTCTTTCACATTCTCCAGTAGCTAAGCTGTGCATGGTTTGGTTCATACGGAAAGATAGTTAAGCAGGCAACTTGGTTCCTACGTTAGATAGGTGGACAATTTTCCCAAGCAGACATGAGAGGAAATGTGAACCGTCAAGGGCAAAAAGAAAAGGCTGTACAGAGTACTACGTAGTCAACCCTCGAATCGACGCGAGAATAACAAGTCGCCGAGGCTAGCTACTCCGTACTAGCGAGCTAAAACAAATACATCAGGCATCAATCAAATTAACTAACTAACTTAAGCTAAAACAGGCGTGAAAGAAAAAAGCTGAAAAAAAAAAAAATCGTCAGCTCAAATAACTACCCCGCTCAATTTTATTCATATTCATATTCATACTCATTTCATATTAACCGAAAAGGGCGTCACCCAGGCGAATGCGGACGGATTTCACTTGGGTATAGTTGTCGAGTGCGTATTCTAGCGACAAACATATCAGTGAGATGAGACTCGTTTGGGAGAGGGGAAAGGAGAGGGGAAATAAAAACGGAGACTGAAGAATAAAAAAATAAACTTGGACAAGGCTTACCTCCCAACTCACGGCCGAGACCGCTCTCCTTGAAGCCGCCGAAAGGAGCTTGGTAAGAGATCATGTTGTAGTTGTTGACCCAGACGGTGCTGACAGGAGTTAGATTTTGTATAAAAACTAAATATGAAGAATGAAAACTCACCCAGCCTTCAGTTCGTTGGAGACACGGATGGCAGTGTTGAGGTTCGTGGTGTGGACGGCAGCGGCAAGACCTGAACAGACCAGCTAGTCAATCACATATTTCCACAATACTATAATGGAGAGGAAAGAGGCAACAAAAAACACTAACCATATGAAGTGTTGTTAGCGATCTCGATAGCCTCTGCTTCATCCTTGAACTTCTGCACGGAGCAGACGGGTCCGAAGATCTCCTCCTTGACAATCTTCATGTCCTCGGTGACATTGGTGAAGATGGTTGGCTGGATGTAGTAGCCCTGGTTACCTAGACGCTCACCACCAATCTCGACCTTGGCACCGGCGGCCTTTCCTTCCTCAATGTAGCCCATGATACGGTCGAACTGGATCTGGGAGATTTGGGGACCCTGGAAGGTGTCGCCGTGGAACGGGTCGCCGACCTTGTTCTGCAGAGCACGGGCCTTGAAGCGCTCGAGGAACTTGTCGTAGATACCCTCCTCGACCAGGATACGGCTACCGGCACAGCAGCACTGGCCATGGTTGAAGTAGATACCGAAATTGACCCAGGAGATGGCGTTTTCGATATCTGCGTCATTGAAGACGATGTTGGGGCTCTTGCCGCCCAACTCGAGGGTGACCTTCTTCAGGTTGCTCTTGGCAGCGGCCTGCAGGATCTGGCGGCCGACAATGGTGGAGCCGGTGAAGGCAACCTTGTCAATGTCCATGTGGGAGGCGATAGCAGCACCGGCGATACGGCCAATGCCCGAGATGATGTTGATGACACCTGGGGGGAAGCCAGCCTCGACGACGAGCTGTCCTACGTAAAGGGCAGAAAGAGGGGTCTGCTCAGCGGTTTTGAGGATGACGGTGTTTCCGGTGGCGATGACGGGGCCGATCTTCCAGGCGAACATGAGCAAGGGGAAGTTCCAGGGGATGATCTGGCCGCAGACACCAATGGGCTCGTGACGGGTATAGTTGAAGGACTCGGAGTCTGTGTCGATGACCTTGCCGTGAATCTTGTCGGCCCAGCCGCCATAGTATCTGATACAGCCAGCAGAGTTGGCGACGTCAATCTTGGCGATGGAGAAGGCCTTGCCGTTGTCCAGGGCTTCGATAGCAGCCAGGGTATCACTGTGCTGTTCCATAAGCTCAGCCAGCTTGATGAGCATGCGGCCACGGTTTGTCGGGGTGACATGTTTCCAGGGCCCATTGAAGGCGGCACGGGCAGCGGCGACGGCGATATCGACATCTTTCTCTGTGGCCTCGTGGACGGCGGTGATGGGTTTTTCATTATGGGGGTTGATGGTCTCGAAAGTACGGCCCTCGACGCCCTTGACGAACTGGTTGTTGATGAAGCTGGATGGAGGTTAGTTAGAATGGGTATATATATATATATTGCAATATTACAATATTACGAGGAGATTGGAGAGGGAAATTTGTGGAAAAAAAAAGGGGGGGGGGTTCGTTTACAGGCCGAGGGGCTGCTCGTATGTGCAGGTCGGGGTAGTGATTTTCTGAGAGAGAGCCATGATGGGCGGGCGGGATGAATAGCTGAGGAGAGTGGGATGAAGATTGATAGGGATGATGATGGAGATGATGAGAAGAAGAAGAAGATGATGATGATGATAGAGATAATGAAGAGATGATGGAGGGAAGAAGATGACGAGAGGAAGAAGGAAGGGTTGAAAAATGGTAGAAGAGAAGAGAAAGGAAAACCTGGGGTGATATAAAGGAGGTGGAAGGTGGAAGGTGGAAGGTGGAAGGTGGAAGGTGGAACTGGTGGTGGTGGAGGAGGGAATGGAAGGGATGGAGGAGAAGATATAACGGCCGAAAGAGCAAGCCTGCTGGGGCAATGACGCCAGAACCGCCCAAGATAATAGATACCAGATACCAAGATACCAGATACCAGACACCAGACAAGATAGTCAATTAGGGATGAAATAGAAATACATCAATCAATAATACATTCATGCTAGCCGCGGTGTGGGCGGGCAAAGGGCAAAGGCGGGGGGGGGAAGTCTAATAATAACGAAGCTTCTGTTTAAGTTACTAGAGTATATATAAATAAATGGAACATATCAAAATGTTATTCTTGTTCAATTAATGTTAAATGAACCTCCGCATCTTGCCGTTGATGGCCGCAGCGCGGTTCTATTTTCCCCCCGCCTCCTCTCCAGCGACAAACCCCTAGTATTTTCATCATCATGATCATCATCATCATCATCATCATCATCATTCATCATCATCAATAATCATCATCTTGTTGATGATCATGACTACTTCGTTACTATTTTTACTATTATTATTTTTAGTATTATTGTTTTAGGCGAACTACCAACTAGTTAATAATTTCATCATTTGTAAACAAATGTTGTGTCTTGTCTTTCATCATGTCGATTTCTATTTCCCAATCACAGTTTATTCGTGCGGGGTAAATACGTAGTAGCCTCGGATAAAACACGGAAGAATGGAGGAAATAATAGCGGAAATTGAAAGGAAGGTGGATAAACCATGATAGGTAATAATATATACCAGATTAGCGCTGGATGAATTCCAATTATGGCTGTCGTGGTCGAATGGAGATCTCCCGCATCGGCTCTGTGTCTGTGGATTGGGTAACAAAACCCCCAACCAGCGGAACCGGGAACGGTTGCAAGGTGCCTGGTTCGAATCGCCGGGTCGCGAGGATTTATTAATTAAATTCTTCTCCCACACTCGTGCGAGTAATCCACGACTTGGCTGTTGGCGCGCTAAGCAATGGCCCGCATCCTCGAGGGAAGCAATTCTGCAGAGAACGGGCTCCCCGGCGATGGCGGCACCAGATCACACCGTCGCTGCACAGGCACGGACTCGAATGGGATGGTCGACTTTCTTTCTTTTTTTTTTTTTTTTTTTTTTTTTTTAATTTAATTTAATTTAATTTAAATTTAATTTTGATTTTACCTGCTTCCCTTCTTTATGATCCCCAAATAAAAGAATATAATAATGGTGGCCTTCTTCGACTGCATCCCGCCCGACCTCCGCGACTGGCTGCTCCGCCAGCCTGTCTTCTTCGTCGCTTCCGCCCCCTCCACCGGCGCCCACATCAACCTCTCCCCCAAGGGCCTTCCCGCCGCCTCCCTCGCCGTCCTCTCCCCAACCAGGGTCGCCTATCTCGATGCCACAGGCTCCGGCAACGAGTCCATCAGCCACCTACGCGAGAATGGCCGCATGACCCTCATGTTCTGCTCCTTCAACGCCTCCCCGCGCATCCTGCGTCTCTTCTGCACGGGTTCCGTCATCGAGTGGAATGAGCCGCCCTTCCATCCCATGTTGGCCCAGATGCAGTTGGCCGACAAGTACGTCGAGAGTGCGCGGGCCGTCATGGTGCTCGACGTCTTCAAGGTGGTTTTTATCTTTTCTCCTTAAAAAGACTGTTTATTTGTTTTCTTACCTTCCTACCCTTCAATCTTATCTTACCACCATTGCCGGGGTTATATTGATAAATATATATATACATATATATAGGTTCAAACATCCTGCGGCTACGGCGTCCCCCGCCTCGCCCTCACCACGGACCCAACCACCAACGCCCCGAAGCCATACCTGCAGGACCGCGAGACAATGGGCCACTGGGCCTCCAACAAGATCGCTAAGAACGAACTGCACGCCTACCAGGTCAAGATGAACTCCGACAGCCTCGATGGCTTACCGGGCCTGCGGGCTGCCATGCGCGAGCGGGCTGCTGGGAATCTGCTGCGGACGATGTGGGTTGATGTGCGCATCTGGGGTTGTAGGAATCGGAGGGTGATTGAGATGGTGGGCGTGATGCTGATGTCTGTGTTAATGACTGTGGCTGTGATGAGAGAAGGTTTCTTGAGTGTTTAAGTGTTTTACAGCTGAATGAACATAATAACATGACATGACAATGACAATGATGATTGAATCTTCATATCTAGACTATTTCTACATCTGTCTCTGTTAGACTGGACTGCCCGCCGTATTTTTTTACCTTATTTACTTGCATTTTGTGTAAAAATGCGTAACTATGTCTATTACTAGTCACTTCTGTTATTTGAAGTTTCACTTGTATGAAGCAAAAGAATTCAAAATAGTTGGCGTTGAGGTTGTTACATATGCATACAGAGCAGGGACATATACTAGTGAATTCTAGCTTATGGATTGAGGCTCTTCCCTTTTTTCAAGCCTTTGATATGTTTCTTCAGTGTTATTGTATAACTGTTGAAAATGCAGGAATAGACACTCTGTGGTCGCCGCTTTCCAACCCTCTGATAGAAGAGATAACAAGAAACTACAAGTAAATAAATGAAGCCACGGGAGGCATATTCTCCATACAAGGACATAAGTATTTTCAGTATTTCCAGAAGATATAGCTTGCACGTTTCCTATATGACAACACATTCCAACTCTTTATAGAAAACACAAGGTTATATATACAAGCCCCGTAAGAAAATAACTAGATCCCCCCTTTTTAAGGAAAACAAAACAGTAAACAATGCTTAAAAAAAGAAAGGACTATTGCTTGTAAGAGAGAAAAAAAAAAAAAAAACAAGGAAGGGGGAACTACGCCTGAAAGGAGCTGGGGCCGATGTGGCCATTCAATCCTTGGCTCCTTATCTATACCCCTATTATGTATGCCTCCCCTTAGCTAGCTTTTCAATCAATGAAGCTTCTTTTCTATTTAACGGTAATGCTAACATATGGAAGGACTAAGGGAAAGAAACAAAAATAAGCAAAAACGGGGACAAGAGTAAAAAAAGAATTTTCCGGGGCATGGCCACCAAAAAATTGAAAAAAAAAGGGCAAATCCGGAGCCTCCGATGGGAAGAGCACCAAATGGAATACCCCAGTTCACTTCCAACACCTAAAACACCGGATCTGGCACCGGTTTGCCCCGCTTGCCCACCCGGCACCAGGGCCGCCCAAGAACACATCCCCATCATCATCATTCATGCGCAAATTGCCAGCCCCGGCCCCGATGATGTTGCGCGAGCAGTTCGCGCACGTGCTTATATCGCCAGGGTAGAAATCAGATGGATTCAGCTGCCCCAGTGGTCGCCGGTATCTGTCCCCGCGCAGCCTTGACCTTCCTCCTTCAAGTGGTATGGTAGTGTCGGGAGGAATGTTTTCTTTGTTGCCGTCTTTGTCTTTGTTGTCGTTGACAGTTACAGAGTGGTCATTCCCTTTTTCATCACCGCATCGGCGATGTACGAGAGCCGGGGGTAACTGCTGTAACTTGTGATAAACCCTGACGGGTTCTTCTGCATCTGCGCCCGCGTCTGTGCTCGGATCTGTGTAGATTTCAAACAGCCGGCTGTTTAGATCCCGGAGTTGATTAGATTCTACGGTGAGTGAATTGCTATTATGTTCAAATGCCTTTGATTCTTGTACTGGTGACCCGAAATCCGTAGCACGGAATCGACGAGGTTGCGTATTCGCTGATGCTGAGGCTGTCTGGTTACGAGAGTTGCCAACGTCTGGGAACGCTGAAGTACGCGGAGAATAGTGAGTGGGAGACTGACTCCTGCTTAGCTCACCATACAGGTTGTGCTCGGGCTCCGAATCGGCATCGGGATCGTTGCTGTGGTTAGGTCCCTTGGGCCTGGAGGCTATATCATGGTTAATAAGAAATAGGGAGGAATATTTTAGAACTGAATTGTTGTTATTTCCAAATGGCAATGTGTATTTCGCTCACCAGTGCTTGACCTTGGGAGGATATCATGGCTAAGAGAGCTTCTGAGGACCGGATATGTATTCTTGTATGGGCTACCGGAATTAGGCGTTGGGCTTCGGGGACGGTTGTCCATAGTTAACCAACGGCAAAGTATGAAGGGAGGGCGGAATTCGAGAGTTTTCGAGGCAATTTGAATAGTAGAGGAAAAAGGGCGGTTGCTTGATGGTGATTTGATAGACATAATTGCCCATGCGGGAGTGAGGTTTTATAGGAACGTCGATGTTGGCCACGATCATTTTGCATTCATTCCATTCCCCTGAGTATTAGAAATGATATGGCTCGACTACTCCACATTTCGCTTTATGAAAGAAACAACTTCAATCGACAAGGCACAGCAGGTTCTGGCAGTAATCCTTCCGTGGACCTCGCGAAGAAGGATTTGACCAGCCCATTGTTGGGAGAATGAAAGGAGAAAAGACAAAAGCCTTGTATGCGTTGTTGATCAGGAGGAAATAGCTAGCAGCAACATGAATATTGTTTCAGTAACAGAATCATCATGGCCTGGAGATTCTTTCTGGAAAGGATACGAAAAATTGGCCTGATGACATGAAAGCCATGGCAAGCGATGAGCGTTGTCTGGAGGCTAGCGGCGTACTTTATTTTGTGCTATGCTGCTGAATATAACTCCAACTCTGGGGTCTTAGCCCTAGGAGAACAAGGGCATGCTTTGGCCGATTGAGCCTTTCGAGAGCTCACTCAAAGAAAAGACGTCATGAACATTCTCTCAAATTCAAAATTCCAATTGAAGACAAGACACACTGGGCCTTTGTGTATCTGGGGGTGACACCAAGCTTTGTTTGTATATTCATCAGAAGATCCCTTTTTTCCCTTTTTTCGCGTAAATATTCTGTCATCATACCTGCAGTACAATACACAATTGAAGTGATTGATAGCAGTACTCCTCCACCCGCCCGCAGGTAGTCTAGCCTTGACATGCTTGTGATTGGTTGGGCACTGAACACTGACCTGAGGAATGATATTGGTATCTTTCGTCCAGATCGATGTTGAAAACCCCATCAATGGAATCGGTAGTTAGGTTTTAAAGACATCTCAAAAGCAATTACTGGAAATCTTGAAAAATGAAATAAGGGAGTGGATGCGATAGACACGGACGGGGTAACAAATAAAACGGAAAGAAGAAAAATGGTATGGAAAAGAATGGTCTAATTTTGCCCGAGATGGAGCGAGAATTTTCCAAAGAAGAGTAGGAACTGTTAGGCTTGCCCTTCGCATTTGCCCGTGTTCTCAAAGGTGGGGAATTTATAGGTTTTCTTTTGAGAACAGGAATCAACAAAATAAAGAGAAATGCAAGGATGATTGAACGAGAATCAATAAAAAGAAAATCAAAGCAAGTGTATATAAATAATGGCACCGGTATCCACGCTAATTTCACATCTCACGATCTGAATCATGACATATAAGGAAAAGAAAAACATCAAAATGGAAAACCAAAACCAAAGGCAAGTAATCACTTGTGATCTTCGCGCTAGCAAGAGCAGGGAAATCATTGCACCTGAGTTGCTGGGCTTGGTCTACAGCCCGCGAATTTTAGTGGACGGCAGGAGGGACACAACAGCAGCAAAAGATAACTAGCAAGAACCGACATCATATAGAATGATTGGATGTGGATTTTGATCTCGAACAACGTAGACGTCGTCACCGGGATTCCCTATCTACCCTGTAGAAAAGGGTGTCAAGAAATGCGCCTATGCTTTTCATTCCTTGTTTATCCAGCTCCATCAACCGGAGTTGGCTGGTTTTCTGAATCGGCACCGTTCGTAAGAGCCGAAGAAGATCCATGGAGTTTTGCAATTCGCTCCTCCTCTGATTGATCTCGTAGGCGTTCGGTCTCTCTGCGCAACGATTCCATATTCCATTCATCTCCGTCGTCATCTCCATCGTCATCATCATCTTCACTTTCGGAGGCCTGCCAGTCACCGCTTTCAAACATGGCACGACCACTGGCATCCTTAGCTTTGCGGGCCTCTTCCTCTGCAGCCTTCTTGTCGAGACGTTCTTTCTTCCACTTCGCGAATGTTTCTGGGGTGACCGGTGTGAGGTTGCCTGTGAGCTTATGGCGTTCGGACTCCAGGAAATCTTCCAGAGTGAGAGTATTCAGGGGGGACTTGTCCATGAGAGCCTTTTCAGCGGCTCTTTGCTCTTTGGTTTTAAGCACGAATCTGTTGCGCGAGTTAGAGATCAGGGAACAACCAACATTCTGACTGAAAAAAGTGAGTTTAAACATACCCAGGTGGCAGACTGTGTTTGTACATGCACTTATCACCGCCATTAGGACAAATCCAAAACCAACCATATTTCTGATTCTCGACAGCCTCGATAAAGTACTTGCAGACCTTCTCCGTCGTCGTCTTGGGGTTACCATGTTTGCTCAACACGACCTTGCGCAGCTTCTCTTCGTCCCAATTATCCATCAAATCCTGCTTCTTGTCCTCTTCCGCATCTCTACTATCGGAATACAGATCTTTCTTCTGTGCCTTTCGCTCCACAGCTGGGTCATGGCTGAACTTGCATCGTTTGCCCTTCTCACAACTGCCCTTCTTGAAGAAGACGCAGAGGACAGTTTTGGGGTCGACGCCAAATGGGACCTTCTGGACTTGCACAGGCTTGAAGAGTTCTGCAGCTTCGCGCTTAGCTTGCTCTGCGGCTGCCTTATCCTTCTCGCGCTGCTGCCGTTGGGCTTCTTTCCTTTTTTCGTCCGCATTCTTGTTTGATTGGGCTTGCGCTTGAAGCTGAGCTATTTGTTTCTTTGCGCTACCTCCTTTTTTCTGTATTGATTCAAAAGTTAGTCATAAACCGCGGTAGATTCGGTTGCTTCTGCCGTGTGAAAATCTCGGGCGGCGTCCTAGATTCCCATCCCAATTTTTATTCCGTGAATGTGTGGGGTAATTATCTAACGGGAACTGAAACGTACATTTTTCATGCCAAAGGTCTAAAGGATCGATAGGTTAGCAATATTGCTCTGTAAACTTGACGAGAGAGATCAACAAGAGCAACTGATAATCGACAACTGACCTTATCTTCCACGGTAGCCCTCGTCTTCTTCGGCTGATCACCTCCTTTCTTGGGCGGCATTTTGGCGTTTGTAAGTGGTTGATGTGGTTTTATTGGGGGTCTTTTCACTTCAAAATTCGTAGGTACCGAGTTGTGATATACGATATGGCGCCAGGCGTTGAAGAGAGGAAAGGAGGGTCTCCGCTTGACAAGGGACCCTAGAGCAAGACGGTAAGTGTCACTATAATGTGGTATAGGCTAGATATGAAACGTAGCCACGACCAGCCCTAGGGATAGATGGCGGGAGTATGGTATACAGGAAAGAAGGCGGGTGTAGTTGGATAGCTGTGACTGATATCCGTTCGTTGTTCGTGTGCTGTTTTTCTGGGCTGTGGAGCAAAGAAAGAGGGTGCTGGAAAGAAGACTTCTCCCTGGTTGGGGGGGCAAAAACGCAGGCTTGGCAAATGTTACAATAGGACAGGGATGTGGCTATAGGCGGTCAACCTCTAGGTGAGGTGTCAACTTGCATCCAATGTACTGTACAAGGAGACAATAGATATATTACGGGCAAAACTGAGAGTGCACCCGACGGATTGACGCTGCTGCCAGCTGTGGAATCATAGCTCTGAAGTTACGTGGTACAAGAACTGCTCGAATATCAGGTATGTATTCAGCCTTACGAATACATCCATTGGCAATGCATTCCTCGTCCCCATATCAATATATCCATCTATCTGGCCAAAGGCTAACGCACCCCAACTGCAAAGGACAAAGCAAAGCCTCAAAGATGATCTCAGACGAACAACTCTACCAGCTCGCCATCTTCCTTGGCTCTTGCGCTATGCTCCTTATCGTCCTCTACCACTACCTCGAAGTCAACTCCAAAGACCTCTCCGCCGCATCCTCCTCCATCTCGTCCTCCCACAGCCAGTCCGTACAATCTCGCGCGTCAGCAAGTTCGCCCAAGCATGCCGTTCCCCCTACATCAATTAAACAAGATGCGCCGGGTGGAGGGTCATCGGGGTAGGAGAGGATGGACGGGAAATTTGGGGGTAAACTGCGTGCCCGGAGGTGGAGTGGGCAGATGTTGACTGGGGTTGATTATTTACGAACTCATGGGATCGTATGGCGGGACTTGATTTTTCCTTCTCTAATGGATGGGCACGCAGCCTGGCAAGGATGGTAGTGCGGCCTTACGCAATCTATGCAGCACATGTACGAAATGGATTAGCCTAGCATCCATTGTCGCGGATATCATCTGTACATGAACAAGGGCGCAAAACCCGATTTCCCAGGTATTACCGAGCGTTCTCTCGCGAAACCTAAGAGATCTGATTCGGTTTGAAATCCATTGGCATTGTTAAGGGGAATCTTGCGCATGTCTTGCATGTTCGAATGTACATCCATGGGCCTAGTTTCCCAAACGTCCCTGCTCAGAGCTCACATTAGGTACAAAGAAACAAAAGACGACCTGTTTCCCATCCCCTATAAAAAAAAAATTAAAAAAAATGAAAAAAAGAGCCTTTCCTGGACCTGTCGCTGGAAATATAACATCTGTTGGCAAGCATTAGATATGCCGAACAGGACTTGAGAGAACAAAGCAGGAATAGTAAAAATCCCGCAAGAGATGCCCTTAACTTAGATCCATGTATTCTAAAGACCGTCATCATCCTCAGCCACAATCTCAAAAATGCTCTCGAACGCCACGACTGTCTCCTGCCTCTTCTCATTCATAAATGTACACCCGCCGCGGCCCAGCCCCGTTCCTACCCTCACTTGTTTCATCTCTAGTGCCCGTAGCACCTCCAACGCTTTCGCCTTGTCACTCTCGTTTCCGTACATTTTATTAAAGGATCGGATTGACCTGTATGCTGCGGGGAGGATCAGGGTAGGCCGTATGCCCTTCGCACTCGCCCTGGCGATGACGGCGCGCCCGTTGCTATCATTTAAGCAGTCGTCGATGTTGTAATCTCGATGTCCTAGAAGTGGGAAAAGAGAGAGAGAGAAAAATGAGAATTTCCTGTCCTTTTTATTTACTTGGGTATTTCTGTTTTCCCCTTCTTCTTCTTCTTCTAATTTAAGAAAGAACAATTGGGTCGCTAAATAGCTTTCCTATCTCACCAGATCTTACAGACCCGGGGCCTTCCCCGAGCGTCCATGCAAGGGCGCTTAAATGTTTATTCTCCAGATGATCGGCTAGGCTATCACGCGTAAACTTATTCCTGCCGTCACGGCAACCAGCCCATAAGCAAGGCGCTTCCATCTTCGTGTCTCTAGGGACGTGGAGGCGAGTGGCGTGTTTTCGGAGGGTTTGCAAATTGTGAAGTTGTGCATCGCAGCCTTTCCATTCACATTTATACATGTGGAATGGAGTTCGGGGAGTGTTTGGCGATGAACTGATCGGGATCGCGATCTCGACTCGGTCTGCGAATCTAGGCTTGCTCTTCGCGCCTAGTGGCCGTCCGCGTCGACGAGTCCCGGGCATTTGTGGCGTTGAACTCATCACGGAGCTTTCAGTATTGATATTATTATTACTCTCTTGCCGAAGGTGAGGTGACGAGTCATCACTCTTGTTGATCGTTTCAGAGATGTGTAGTTGTGAAGGTGTCTGAGGAGGCTGAGAACCAGTAGTGCCTTTCGCTGAGTCACGTGAATGAGGATTAGGTAAGCGGTCAGCCACTCCAGGCCTTGTGTATTCGCGGACTGTGATTAAGGGAGGTTTGGAGACTGCAGTAACTAGCGGGACTTCAGGTGGTGGCGGTCCTCCAGGATCGACAATGTCCCAGCGGAACGTTCGTAGATCAGATGAGTTATCAACCGCAGGAAAATTATCACGTAGTCTTGAAAGATGCTGGTTCAATGCACGCTCTGTCGGGTGGCGGCCGGTTGCAATCAAAAGATCTCTCGCAATAGTCTTCGGATCATAGTAGCGCGTTTTCACGGCCTCTGTCTTATTTAGCGGCTTTACGATATCGCTACGCCCCCGTAGCGTTTCATTGCTTGTTGAAGAATCAGCATCTGGCATTCTGAATTGCGATAAATCGAGCGTGTTTGCTGGGGCGCTATGTGCCTCAGGAGTTTCTGGCGCAGGTGCTGGCACTTCAACATCCACATCCGTATTTGTATCGCTCTGGGGTGGTACGTCCTGTAAGCGCGGTGCTTTTGAAGGTGGTGAATCATCATCGTCATCATCACTTGGAAGCTGGGTAAAATCCACAATCTCCGCGAACGTGCGTTTTTTAGCCAATGCCTCTTTGGAACCAGGTGCGGGTATATGGGCAGGTGGCGCAGGAACACGGAATTTAGGTTTCAGCTTGCCTCCGATTGGACTTGGAACTAGGCCACCTATAGTGTGTCGAATCGGTGCTAGCCTTTCAGGGAGTGAATGCGGCCCTGCTGATCTAGACGCTTGGGTGCCGTTCGAAAATCCAACTTGACGAGGAGGAGATCCTATAAACCCTGGAACTCGATTTTCTGAAGGAACTGACGGTGGAAGCTGATACGGTACGAAATATCCAGGGTCTCTGTTTGTTGGAGGTGGCATGGGTGTTGATGATGGAGCCGGCTGCGCCGTTTTGCTTCCAACCACCTGAGGTCCACCTGATCTTGCTGTGGATCCTAGAGGAATGGGCGTGGAATTATTTCCCGCGCGGACTCCGGTATATTGAATCGGTGGCGACATAGATGCTGTACTCGGAGGAGGCTGCATTTGCCCCTTTCTAGGGGTGGAAGATGGCCCATTTGCCACTGTGTTCGGGCCAGCAGCAGGGCTGGAACCTGCTGTTAACTCCGGCATAGCTTTGAGTAGATGTTTTGCGAAATGAACGCGATTCAAATGGTAGCCTCGAGATTCTAACATCCCGCAGAGTTCAATGTAGCTCGGATTCCGATCTATCAACGATAATACCATCTCTGGAGGACATTTGTTGCCCTTGTTGCGATTGCTAATGACATCATCTATGTATCTTGAAGCTGCCTGGGCCAGAGCTAATCGCTTCGGTTCCGGCCAGATTGTAGCAGCTCTTAGGTTTTCTTCTTTTGTTTGCTTAGCCCCAGTTGCAGGTTCTGGCACAGGCTGGTTGGGGGGCGCTGCAGCTTGAACTTGGGCTGGCAATGATGCAGGTTGAGATTGCTTAGCCTCAGTCGCAGGTTCTGGCACAGGCTGGTTGGGCGGCGCTGCAGCTTGAACTTGGGCTGGCAATGATGCAGGTTGAGATTGCTTAGCCTCAGCCGCAGGTTCTGGCACAGGCTGGTTGGGCGGCGCTGCAGCTTGAACTTGGGCTGGCAATGATGCAGGTTGAGATTGCTTAGCCTCAGCCGCAGGTTCTGGTACAGGGTGGGCGGGCGGCGCTGCAGCTTGAACTGGGGCTGGCAATGGTGAGGGCTGAGATTCATCGGAATCTATAAGCTTCTCAATTTCCATACGCCCACCCATTTGTGTAGGTTGGTCTTTCTCATTTGTTTCGGGTTGTGAAGCTGCAGCGGGTGGAGGTTGCGGGGGATGCCCGTTATCATGTCGAGTAGGTGAAGATTGAGCTCCATGACCCGCTAGATTTACAGGCTTCGACCTTCGTTTTCGCCGAGCTGCGGGGAATTTGCCACGATCATGCATTGAATTGGTCTCTTCGGTGGGATTCATAGAAGCCGAAGTTGGTGGTGGTGATGATACTAGAACTCCGGATGTCCGTCGTTCTTCTACAGCTTGAGGAGGGGCGGCGACAGGTGCCGACTATTGATGGTATAAATGTTAGCTGACATTTGTAGTATGAAAGCTGAATGAGAAAATAAATATATTAAAAAAAAAATACCAGAGCTCACTCACCACTTCCAGTCCACCTAGTAACTTCGCGAATTTATTCGGATACTTTGATTTTAGTTCTTTCATTTTCTCCAACATCAACTTCACCTCTAGGTCTTCATCTTCATCAGGTTGCCCTTCAACTGGGGTTTGGACCATCGTTGAAAGCGCCTGTCTCTGGTCCTCGTTAGGTTGAGCAGTGGGCACAGATTGTGTTTGATGGGTGATCCCCGATGATTCGTCGGGCGCAGCAAGAGCGGGAGCTTCCACCTGCGGTTTCCGTGCGCGGCGCTGTTGCTTTTTTTGGGTCCCTCCGGACTTTCCCTGTGCCGAATCTGTGGGATTGGGAGCTTGTACCCTAGGTTTTGGACCGGGTTTACGACCTGGTTTAGGCTTCTCCGCAGTTTGTGAATTAGCTGCTCGGACGCTGGCCGCAATCTCCCTCGCAGCAGCTAGTTTTTGTGAGATTTCAGCCTGAGCAGCTCGTTTCAAGTTCTCTTTCTTCATCTCCTCAAGCTCTCTCGCGGACCGCTTCCGTCTCTCTGGCTCGTTTTGTTTCTCTATATCTTTCTGCCTCTCGACTTCTCTCTGTTTCTCCACTTCCTTTTGTTTCTCTGCCTCTGGATGTTTTAGCCGTTCTGCTTCCGCTTCTGCCTCTGCAACTCTAGTTTTCTGATACTCCTGGTAGTATGGGTTGTAGATTTGACTGGGGTCGATAAACCCTGGCGTTGCGGGCTGGTACGATTGCGATTGACTTGTGTTTACCGGTTGATACTCGGAGGTAGAATTTATGTAGGAGGGATTTGAAGCTGTGTTTTGGGCATGTGATGTAGTAGGGGGTTGATGAGGAGCGTTGGTATTGTCGTATCCTGTCATGCGGTGTTGTTGCGAAGCTGAAGGTTCAGAGTACATTGATGACGAGGATGGTGTCGCGGCAGACAGGGTAGAAGAATACGTGTTGCGGTGCTGGGATATGGACTGTTGGTTTCTAGATATATTTGACTGAGCTGATCCCGTAGACGCTCTACTATATTGCGACCTCGCATTTTGGTGACGATATGGCTGTCCAGGATCGGCTGATGATGGGGGCTGTGCTGTGGGGTTTGGTGCTATTAAATTGGATAGCGGAGTGCCATAGCTTGGAGCATAAGAATGAGATGTTGAGGATGAGCCAGCCGGACCGGTTGACAGTCTCTGTGAAGCAGCGCGGGGTGCGGGAACGTTGGAAGAGAGGGCAGTCATGGCTGAAGCAGCCACGGTTCTCGAGCGTTGAGCAGAGGTTGGACGATCAATTGGCAGAGAAACATTTGCCGGTAATCTATTTTGCGCTGGAGGATCTATCTGGTAGCTCATGTTTGTAGAGATGGAAGTGGTCGAGCGCGGATCCGTCGCGGAGTTGTGCATAGCCATAGATTCCACTGTGGGAGAACCATACTGGATATTTTTTAGAGTTGGTGAAATGAGTGGATTATGTGTCTGCTGGGACTGCTGGGCTTGCTGCGACGACAGTGATGATGATATTGATGGCGCAGCGTTGGACGTACTATAGCTCGATTGTTGTTGATGCTGATAGCGGTAACTTTGGGATGATGGGTTGGTTGAGGACTGCCAGCTCTCCCGCTCCGGCTGCTGCTGGGGAGTTTGACCCGATATATCTGTATTGTTCTGGCCCTGCCACTCATAACTCTGCTGTCCGTAGCTTCGGTTTGCCGTTTGCTGGGTATTTGGAGTTTCTGAAGCTGAAGTGACTTGGATCTGAGGCAAGGAGTTGTATGAGGGTTGAGCATTCTGCCCACCAGAGAGATACTGGTAAGGAGAGTAACCGAATCCTGGGTACGACATATCTAAAGCATACAAGTGGATTTTCTATTACAGAATCCCACCCCCCACGTTATAGCTCGCACTTGCGCGGAGTATGGCATAGGGAAGAAGGGAGCGGCGGTTGAAGCGGTGGAGTGCGAGGGGGTTGTAGCATAGGCGGCGATTGTATGGCGGAGAGGTAGTGTTCACCCGGTAAAGTGAAAAGGGCGCAGTCCGCAATGAACAACACTAAGAATGAGGAACAAAATACAGGTTAAAGCCCGTTCCTGAGCTTCTTTTCACTTCGTCGTCTCTATTGTTGACGTTTTCACTGCCGCCGTTCATTTGTCACGGGTGTACCCGCCAGACGCGGCTGGAAAGAATGCTGAGTCAGTCAACCCTAGCTGGTTGGTTGATAGCTAGATAGCGCTAATACATATATGGATGTGTGGGGGGTCACGTGGGATAGGGCTTGTGTACCCGTTGAACCTACCTAGGTAGGCCGTGGACACTAGTCCAGGTCAGCTGACCCACAGTCTCTTTGCACACTTTCGGCTAATTATTGTGAAGGAAATATTGACGACGACGACGACGACGACGACAACAATTGAACACCCCCATTTCCTTCCCACCCCCTCTCGGAGCCAGATCTCATTTTCCCCTTCAGATCTGCACAAATGGCAAAGGTCAACGGAGGTACGTATGCCTATTTATGTTAACGCGCGATTTATGGGGCGGTTTACGGTCAATTGACCTCATGTTGGACGCACATTTTTCATGTGTTATATCTACGAGGCACTGACGATTTTTTTCTTATTGATAGAACTCGCCTCTTCACGGCGGAAGTCGCGGAAGGCGCACTTCAGCGCCTCTTCCGGCGAACGGCGAGTCATCATGAGCGCCCCGTTGAGCAAGGAACTGAGAGAGAAGCACAATGTACGAGACCCTAGAATCTTGAAAGGACTCTAAAATAATACCACCATTTTCACATGCATAAAGTGTCACATTGGAGAAGAAAACGAAGAAGAATCAGATGGAAACAGTGGAACAAAGAAAAAGGAGAAAGAGGGCATGGCTGATTGTGTTTAAAAAACATCCAGGTCCGCTCGATACCCATCCGCAAAGACGACGAAGTCACCATCGTCCGGGGCTCTAACAAGGGCCGCGAGGGCAAAATCACCAGCGTCTACCGCCTCAAGTACGTCGTACACGTCGAGCGAGTCACCCGCGACAAGTCCAACGGCCAGAGCGTCCCCATCGGCATCCACCCATCCAAGGTTGTTATCACGAAGCTGAAGATCGACAAGGACCGCGAGAGCATGCTCGAGCGAATGGGTAAGGGTCGGGAAGTGAAGGTGGCAAAGGGAAATTAAATTAAAAAAAAAAAGTAACATTTTTTTTAAACTTGTTTATTCTTTTTTTTTTGGTTTTTTTTTTTTTTTTTTTTTTTTTTTTCACCTTGTCTCTACCTTTTTCCACTTTGCTTTGCATGCCTTTGAGGGATTGTGTGTAGAGGGACTCTCGGGTATTTTACGCAACGTACTGGTCGGATAGGTTTCCCCCCAGTTCGTGGATTGGACGGCGACCACATTTATGGACTAAACGAAAAATGAAAAAAGAGAAAACATACTATATGACTTTTAATTGTCTGTAGTTTCATGCTTGACCTGGCTGGTGGATTTCACATACCACTACCTCTTCTTTGAGCATACTCCCTTTCTCCCTTTCACTACACCCAAGCATTTTCTCACCCCATCGTTCGATGGGCTACGCGATCAACAAAAGGAGATACCATTCCAGAGCTTCAACGATCAGACATTGCGAAAGCAACGGGTCTCAAGAAATTAACGACGTGAGAAACGATATCCTTTTCCCATTTCCCGTCCTTTCCCCTCTACGCCCATCCCTTTTCATCGTGACAACACCGAGACATGCAAGACTTTTTGCCAGTATTATCTCCTCGCAAACCATAAGATATACATCTTTATTCGGTGGTTTAGCGAGGTATACGCCTGGCGCACATGGAGCGACCTTTACAACACCAAACATCAAACTCGCCTTTTTTATATTCTATAAATATAAAATTGTGAAGTGTGCGATGGTTGTGGGTAAGTCTCGCCTGCAGACTTGTCCCTATGCTTGATATCGATGATGGAAACAAGTTTGATGGCGAGGGACATCACTTTTTATGTTTATATTATGCTTGTGCATCGAGCTGTTTTTTGAATAGACAATTCATATCATTTTTATTTTCATTGCAAAAGTGGTCGAGCCGGTGAAAGAGAGTATAGATATATTTTCCCGCATCAGTTGATCGAATAAACAAATGATGGAACATCTTTGATTCTGCATGAGAAATACTATATATAGATAGCATGGTAGCACGGTGGTATTAATGCAGAGGGGAAAGGACTAAACAAGACGAATCAGGGCAGAACTTGCGCTCTCGACGAGATATAAATAAAACACACCGCTCTGTAAACTGGAAATCAGAAAGATTGAAGACGTAAGAAATAAAATGCAAAGTCCAGAAATCAAAACCAGACAAAAGGGAAATTAAGAAAAAGGCCTCCATCCTTCCAAAAAAAAAAAAAAAAAAAAAAAAAAAAAAAAAAGACAAGAAAGATCTCATGATATCAATTTCCCCCGATTTATGCACACTCCCTGGAAATAAAGAAACGATTCTTTACCGCCCAAAACACCTGCCCCACGAAGGCAATCCACACCCCATCCCGACGAAGAGATATACCAAGAACACGACGACGACGACCAGCAGGGCCATCACTTTCACATTCTTCCACCACATCTGCCGCCTCAATCCACGGCTCCGCACGCGGAAATCCCGGGAGCTACCCCCGAGCCGGTCCGTCTTGTCAACCAGCAGATCGATCCGCTCCCCACGCTCCAGCACCCGCTCGATGTTCTCCGTCATGATTCCGCGCACGCTGTCAATCTCCTTGCGCGCAGAGGCCAGCGAATCGGCTGGTGGGGCCGTGTTGTAGGTCTGCAGCAGCTCGCGAAGGGTTGTGTTGAAGGCGGCGCAGCCGTAGGCGGGCATGGCGCTGAAATCGGTGCTGTCCGGGTTGTAGACCGTGAGGAATTTGCGGCGAATCTCGAGCAGGAAGGCGAAGGGGATGCGTCGGCCGAGCTCTGCGGTGGCTACGACGAGGTAGCTGAGCGGGGCGTAGGAGGTGAGTTCGCCATTTTCGGCCGCGGCGGTGGGAGAGTCGGCGATGTAATGGACGAAGAGGCGGTCGTGTGTGTAGGTGAGCTTTTGCGGGGTTTCGTGAGAGATTTTGGGGAGAATGATAGAGGCGAGGGAGGAGGCGGAAGTGGAGGACGTGCCGGGGGAGGAGTGTTCGGCTAGAATTGTAGTTCTATGCGCAATGCAGGCACTGGGAGACTGTTTAGAGAGGGTTCCCTCTGAATTTCACGGGAGAGAGTGAGTGATAGAGAGAGATACTAACTATAGGAAAGGGCTATGAGCTTTCGATGAAGAAGCCATCTTCGTCCGTTTTTCTTTGGTTGTGCCAGTAATGGAGAGAGAGAGGTTTGGAGGTTGGAGACTGGAAGAGGCAAAAATGAGATGGATTACAGTGAAATGCTTCCTAGCTAGTTAAATAGGTAATTTAACAGCTTTCTGTAGTCTTTGTTTGCAAATGGTTTCAGTGTCAGTCAGTGACTAATTATGGTTCAGGTGATGAGTATGATGTGATAAATAAACCTCTTCTACTACTCTTCTGGTCCTGGGAAATAACCTGGAATGGATCTAAATATTCCAGTGCCGTCTTGGCGCCATCTGCCGCTGGTGGCGCGTCTCTCTCTAGTTAACCTTAGCATAAGAGTATAGAGTATTTCAGCAGCCAACGCAGTCTCAACAACTATCTCTACAGCTTACAGTCGTGGAAAGTGGTTGAAAAGATGTTTTGGCCCTTCAAAAATCCAGGCTGCGAATGTAAATAACTCTCGATCCAATTGTTGGTAACTGTGAAGCTGCGTGGTTGATTCCTGCGAATAAAACACCCTCCTCGTCCAGCGGATACATATTGATTTTTATCTATGGCCTGCCACGGCCATAATTTCACATATTTAAACACAGAAATTTTACGGGAACAGTTCAGTTCGAGTGTCACTTTGACTCTGCGATGTGCAAGGGCTTTTTTCAATGCATTTTTCCCCATCAGTCAACTGTCTAAACTGGAGCAATTTGAAAGACGTCTCTCCAGTTATAGTCCGTATATACCTACCTATCTTTAATATATATATACAATTGCAGCATCAAAACCAATGTCACCAGGAACACTGAGGATGATTTGTGAAAAAGCACACTTACATTCAATCACGGCCAAGTGGACTTGCTTAGAAAACTGCCAATAGAAATTGGATATTACTTAGAATCCCCATTATCGAGGAACCCGCATTCCACCTCAAGATAATAAAAAAAAAAAAAGGGCCAACAGGCTAGGATATGTATGTGTGTCAAAGGAGGCTCAGTAATGGGCTGCCCAGACACTACCTAGACTATCTATACTCATAGCATTGAAGTACATGGATGTACTTATACATTACACAGGTATGTACTTGTGGGGAATAAATTGCATCTCTGCGAAATTGATGGCGAGCTTGGGATTTGCCTCGAATCCGGCCTCATCGCAGTAGATGGTGTAGGACTGAAAGAAATAGATTGAAGCCAGCGCAGCACTGCCTATTCAAGGGCTCTGATGGCTGCTTGGACGGGCAAGGATGCTATATTTATTTAATATAGCCTTGTTGTCTTCGTTGGGCCTTCGTTGGGAGAATAATCAGTTAGAAAAACAATGACATCTGTTGAGGGGGAAAGAAAGAAAAGAAAAAGAAAAAAGGCATTCATTGTACGTCAATCTCATAGATGTCTCATGGTATTAGCTATTTTATTATTATCAAGCCTACGCCTGGCTTGATAGTTTCACCAGTTAAGGTAGTTAAACTAACTATCAACTAACTATCAACTACTGTGACTAACTATCAACTAGAAACCTTCATGGCCACTGACCTAAATATTTAAACTGATCCGTACATCGCCAGCATCAATTGATCGTCCGCCATCACCACCCGCACCATCCCGTCAAATCCCCCCGCGTTCAATTCCCCATACCCCACACCGTGTCTGTCCACGGCTAAAGAGACCTAACCTTACCTGCCATTCAATGTCCGCCGCACGCCCTCCCCCAGCGCCCCGTGGGCCCCCACAACAGCTGTTCACGTAAGTCTCGCGGAAAGACTGGCTCCAAACACGCTTTCCCGTCCCCCCCCGGGGGGCAACCTTGGACCATGCACTAACACGATCCCGTAGTGGTCGCCACTTCTTATACGCTATGGTCGCCTCCGTTGGCGCGGGCCTGTTTACCATGTCCCTCTATCGCATGAGGCAGCAGAAGCTGGCGGAGGCGAAGAGGCGGTACGATGAGCAGCAGCGGTCGGGGTAAGTGGATGTGGACGCGAGTTGTTTAAATAAAAGAGAGAGTGAAGGAGACGGAGGGAGAGAGGGAGAAGAGAGGGAGCGAGGGATATGATATCTAGCGCGAGACGTGGGGGATGGATGTTGGGGGATTCACACCTGTCGTGAGGATACGATATCATCTGTACTATATATATATATATACACGGCATGCATTGCCTTTATGGAACGAGGGAGGTTCCAGAGGATCGTTTGCCCGTTAATACCTCCAATGATTTTGTATAAAAGACAACTTTGCCTAATAGAGCACTTGTACAACTGGAGTTTGGATGTGATATACGGGAACATTGCAAGAGAACGGGATATGAGGGTGTGATAGACCGAGAGTGGCCGCCGCTATCTCATGTCCGATTTTTGACAGGATGGACTTGAGACATTATACACCATATTATACTATGCTATGCTACGCTACGCGATGTGATGCAACGGGATGTGTGTAATAAAAACGGTTAGAATGGCAAATGTGGTGAAATATACCAAACCACCCGCATTGTCAAGTCTCTTAGATCTATAAAAATGAAATCCCGATTCCTTAGTTATTAACATGTCATGTCTAAACCCTCATTAAAATATATAACCAATACAAAACAATACCCGCAACAAACTAGGCAACACTAGACCATACACGATGCCGCGAACCGCCCAATTAACTAATTACAAACGAACCACCGCAGCCCCTGAATAATCCCGCTCGACTACCTTCCTCCTCCTCCTTCTCCAGGTTTCATCGTTCCCGGGTAAGACTATTACGGCCGTCTTCATTACCAGAATCGGACTCAATCTCCGTATTTGCCCTGCTCTTCTTCCGCTCCTGCCGCGCCTTCCCCCCCTTCTTCAAAAAATTCCCTTCGTTCGTCTTTCTCCTGTCCCATTCACGTTCACGCTCGCGTTCACCCGCCCGTCTCAATTCCTTGACTTCCCAAATGACTTCTCGAAATCCCTCCTCGAGTGTCCTCATCCGCGCCAACACCAATTTGCTCAACATATCCTGGGTCTCACTACTCGTCAGCGGCGGTGCGGGCCGTCGTAACCCGCTAGTCGCATATGCCATCTGCGTCGCGAAGCTGGATGGGATCGCCCCGACGAAGCCGCCGCCGACGGCGTTGTTGTCGCCAAGATCGGACCCGAGGTCCATGGTTAGAGTCGAGGAAGGCTTTTGGTCATGGTGTTGAGGGGGAAGAAGGCTGGTGTCGTGTCGGGCTGCTGTGCTGGCGGCCCATCCAAGACCCGTATCGTCGGGGAGGGACATGAATTTTGTCTTGCTTGGAGGGATGATGGGGCAGGGTACGGCGGGTTGTTGGGTTTTGGGTGAGCGTTTACGATGATGTTGGTTATTTTCAATATTTGGGGCACTGGTTCTTCCGTAAGGATCTTTGGTAGGGGAGTTTGCGGTGATATTTCCATTTTCTCCACTGTCGCCTTCCGCTCCCTGCTTATCGTCCGGTTGGGGATGCGTGGGCTTGTAGAGAATTGTCGCCCCAGATGCATTTCGGAAATGATGCCGCTGCGGAGTTTTCAGGCGGCGGGAAGGGCTATTCCTACGCGATAGTAGTTTGGCTGTGGATGGCCTGGAGGATTTCTTTCGGGGGCTGACCATACCCCAGGTACTGGATTTTGAGGACGATTGGTTGCCTCCCTGGACGTTCCCGTTACTATTTTGCATTGACGGGCGTCCAGGGCCATCAGAAGTCCCTTGCTCATTGTCACTGCTTGTAAGCTCATCATCACCCTCCATGTCTGTTTGCTGTGGAAGGTGCCGGCTTTGAGGGTGGATCGATATATTATACGGGAATCTGCGGTGGCGGACGGCGCTATTTCTCAAATCCTCTGGATCTGAAGCGATCGACTGAGTAGTATTCGTAAGGTTCCGCACTATCCCATGTACATGATCACGATACCTCCGTGCATTGTGCCTCCAGAGACGCTGTTTCTCCAACCGTTCTACCGTACTCATATCCTGCTCTTCAGGTGAAGCGATCCCGGTTCCAGGCTCGATATTCTGCATCCAGGAGTCAACAAGATTGCTAGATTGTTGTTGTCGCTGATTTTGGTGGTGGATATTTTGCATCGGCGTTCCACGATAGCTTGCGTTTTGGTGGTTGAAAGGACGCCGAAATACCTCCTCAAGAGCACGGTCCTTCTGCTGTGTGGCAATCGATGGTTCCCGTACGCGGACCGAGCCCCGTCGCGTAAACGCATCGAAGTGGCTGTGACGATTATTATATTTTCTCGACCTCGCAGGATAATTGTCGACAGGAACAGTCAGTTCAAACACGCTTGATCTTAAAATTGTCTTTTCATAGAGGTAGATTGTAAATAGGATCGGCATATGAGTAATTTTAATTACCGTTCGGTTCAATTGAATGAATTTTGGAAACGGCATTGTGAATCGAAGTGGTGCTATAATCCACGCAAGGACATTGGCAGGCGCGACGTAAGAGAAAAGAGCATCTGACTTAACCATCGAAAGAGTGTTGACTGCAAACACAAATTGGTGCTCTTCGTTGGCATTTTGAACAATTGCCATAAACGAGTTGGTTAGCACTGTGATGAGTATTGTAACGACAAGAAAATGGCATATAAATAGGAAAAGGGTAAGTATTGCTTTCCCGATTGGGTTGTATTTATCCCAGAGTTGCCAAGCCGCAGGTGTAAAGCCCATCAACATTTGAAAAAGCGCGTATATCACGGTCCCCGGCGAGTCCCCATTGCCGAATGAGAACGTAAAAGCAACAAAAAAACCGCTACACGCAATGACTATAAGCGTGAAAACAGCAACGAGGTCAGCAGCCATCATGCGGAAGGCGATTAGAAGCTGAGAGAAATAGCGGTAGTGGTCGAGTACGGAGAAGAGGCGTGGGAGGAGCAGAACGGCATTGGCGGCTAAAATATCGTACGCATTATTTGCAATGATTCGCCTGAGAGGGTCAGGCGCGACAACGCCGTATATTCTCAAGCAATAATAGCAAAACAGTAAGAGCAATATGCCCACATCGAAAGTGTTCCAGAAGCTCATCAAATAGAGGCTAAATCCTTGCTCGTTGAACCCTACAAGTTCATCGAGCATAAACCCTGCACTCCAAAACCAGAACACAAGTTCAAGGGTAGTAATTTTGGGAGACCGCCTTTGAATAACTGCAAGAAAAAGCCCAAGTAAAATTGCGAAGGACATTGTGGAGAGCACCTGTCGATAACGAGGAACTCTAAGTCGGGAGAGTTTAAAAAGAGAAGCATCTCGGGGGTTATAGAGAGTTACGGAACGACGAGTTCCGATCCCAACGCTCTGGTTGGGCCTCACATCATGACTGCGTTTCCCGGGGCTATAGCTGTTATTAGTTTGGGAGAACGACCCATACCCCTGAGGAGGTGATTCTGTGCTTGTTGTGACTGGTTGGCGATGTAAACTATCTGCAGCAAAGTGGAAAACAATGTTACCTGCCCAAATAGCTTCGAGTTGTTGGACTACAAGCGGATGCGCGAGGAAACGTTTTGCCTGTGCGCGGACGGCAATTTCGAGGCAAGAAATTCGGACTGCCCCTGGAGACACCAGTTTCGAACGTTGGTTTGTATCCCAACTGGATGGCCTGAGGGTGCTGCTAGACAAGGGAGGAGGCTGTCCCTGCAGTGGATAGAAGTCGTATGAAAGAGCATCAATCAACTCTCTAGTAGTGTATTCCTTTAACAGCTTGATGGCAAGCAATTCGCATACCATGGCTCTGGTATTGCTGGCACCACTATTTTCCGGATGGAAATCCACTTCCTTTTTGAATTGAAGGCAATTGGCCATCAACGCATAGAGAGTGGCTCTGGAGAAATGAGAGCCGCGAATCTGCAGTTGAATTGGCTTGAGCAGGAACTGGGAGACCTGGGGTGATCTGAGTTGATCCCAGGACAGAGTAGTTTCGCAACGAGTAGTTATCAACAAACGAATTGCATGCGTTAAAGGATATGTCGGAAGGGAGTCTAACTTTTATTAGATATCTATGAAACAGAATGAATAGCCCAGCTGGTCATGGCATTCATAACCCTACCTAGAATGGATGCTGAGAAGATAGGAAGAAGAGGAGATGCCTCCGTTGGACCGTCCTCGTCATCATCATAACCATTATCATAGGCGAAGTCTCCTTGTTCTTCTGCTTCTTCTTCCTCATCTTCCTCTGCCTCCTCCGCTTCATCTTCTATTGCTTCTTCTATATCATCGCCATTGCGGGTAAACGTGTTTAGCTGTTCAAGATCCTGCTCGGGATCGTGTTGCCTAAGCCGCCTGGGACTCAGAGGGCGGGGGGAAGATGACAATGGGGTATTAAAAGGAGAAGAAAATATGGGAATCGGAGTATTTGAGAGTGGGGATATCATGTTTGGACCGCTGCCAGAAAGAGGTGTTCGGTCGGGAAGTAAATAAGCAAAGAGCACAACGAATACGGAGCAGAGATACCGCCAGAAAGACATCAACGCCAAACAAGACACATCACACTGATCTCCCGCTTGACACCCAACGAGTGTCAAGAGTGTCAATTGCAGAGAGAAGGGACATATTCGCAGGAAGCAAAAAAGTACTCGACGATATGAGAAAAGAGCTACGCTGTAGAGAGCAGGTGCCGGATGCGGTTAGTCATTGCGTCACGTGAGTTTGTTTTCGCCTCTAGTTTCTATGGAAGAATACTTTGGATAGACGGGCTGATCCTTGCGGAGGACATTTTGATAGGGAATTATCTGAACTCTGTGTTTCGTTGACTTAGAATGGTGGAAGATGGTGGTTATTAGGAGGGGAACAAAAAAAAAAAAAACCTAGAGGTTGAGTGGCGTGGGGAACTTTAACGCTACGCGCGCTATGCTATTGTAGACCAAGGGCTGGAGGTAACCTGAGCCTCGGTTTAGATAGATCTTCTCTGACCCTTGTTGAGGAGGTTGAAGAGACATAGGTATCGTCTATCTGTCCTGTCTATCTGTCTATCTGTAGCAACTCTTTGTCAAAGGAGAAACCCGTTGAACCTTTCGTACGCCCCAGAGGCTCTTTAATGCCAAGAACGGCTAAACTTACAGCCAATGGGAAGCCCGGAACAGCGCCAAGCCAAGCCTTCAGCGTCTCCGATTGGTCCGCTCCTCGGCCACTCATGGAGCGGAAAGAATCTGACTAAGACCACTGGGCGTCACCATTTATTTTTTCACCCACTTCAAAATCACACACTCGCTCTCCCCCTTCCCCCCTTCCCCCCTTCCAGAACCTCCTCTCTCTTTTTACATTCCTCTAATACTCCAATTGCTTCCTGTCATCTGCCATTTCACCCTGTCCCGTGCTCCTTCACGCTGATGCTCCGCTAAACATCACCCCGCTTTTGGCTTACCGTCCCTCACAGGACATCTCCCCCAACAATGCCGCTTCTCAATGCCGCTGGGGATGCCAAAAGCTCTCCTGGCCAGTCTCATTCCGTCAGGAGCAGACGACTAACCGATACTACTGTTACTCCGTCCAGCCCTGCTTCTGGTGGCGTCGTCGCATACACCACCCAGAATAAAGACCTGCCTTCCCTCGCTCCCCAAACGGCATATTCCCTCAATGGCGGTGCTATCCCCCCCGCCTCTGCCCCAATGGCTGGCGAAGGGGGAGATGGGAGCAAGTGGTATGCCCTAGAGCTGGAGGATGGCACCGTCTACCAGGGTTACAGTTTTGGTGCCGAAGCGAGCATTGCTGGCGAGTTGGTTTTTCAAACTGGCATGGTGGGCTACCCAGAATCAATCACAGATCCTTCCTACCGTGGCCAGATCTTGATCATCACCTTCCCGCTGGTAGGCAACTATGGCGTCCCTTCGCGAGAAACGGTTGATGAGCTCCTCGGGCAAGATATGCCCAAATATTTCGAGTCCAGTGAGATCCATGTTGCTGGTCTTGTAGTGGCCAATTACTGCGGAGAGGACTACTCGCACTTCTTGGCCGAGTCGTCTCTCGGGAAGTGGTTGAAGGAACAAGGAGTTCCTGCCATGTATGGTGTTGATACCCGCGCCCTCACAAAGAGAATTCGAGAGAAGGGAAGCATGCTTGGCCGCATGCTTTTGCAGAAACCCGGTGTGAGTGTTGAAACCTTGAATAGCGACGCGCCGAAAAACGGCTCGACTACTGCTGTTGTTGATGACGAAGAGAAATCCGATCTTTGGAGAGCATCCTTTGAACAAATTGAATGGATGGACCCTGATAAGAGGAACCTGGTCAACGATGGTGAGATTAATACGCCACCCACCCGTGGTATAAGGCTCCGTCCTCTGACTTGGTATATTCTACAGTCTCTATTAGGAAACCCCAGCTGTTCTCCCCACCAAAGGATTCGGTCCTTTCTCACCCCTGTGGTCGCCCGATCAGAGTTGTGTGCGTTGACGTTGGTATGAAATATAACCAACTACGGTGCCTTCTCGCTCGCGGCGTCGAGCTCCTTGTTGTACCATGGGATTATGATTTCCCCAGCTTGGCAGGAAAGGAATATGACGGCCTTTTCCTTTCCAACGGCCCGGGCAACCCCGCCACCCTGTCCAAAACAGTGGAGAATATTAGAACCGCCATCAAGGACTCGCGCACTCCAATCTTTGGTATTTGTCTTGGACACCAGTTACTTGCCCGGGCTGCGGGTGCGTCTACCATTAAGATGAAGTTCGGTAACCGAGGACAAAATATCCCCTGTACCAGCCTTATCTCCGGTCGCTGTTACATTACTTCGCAAAACCACGGATATGCAGTTGATTCTATGACATTGCCAGAGGGATGGGAGGAGCTCTTTGTCAACGCTAATGATGGAAGCAACGAAGGTATCAGACACGTTAGCCGCCCATTTTTCAGTGTCCAATTCCACCCAGAGAGCGCCCCAGGACCCCAGGACACAGAGTTCCTATTCGATGTCTTCATCGATGCTATTAAAACGAACGTGGCATTCCCTAGTGCCTTAGAGAAGCCCGTTAGCTTCCCTGGCGCCACCGCTAAAGAGAACGAGCTTGCAAACCCGAGAGTGAGCGCTAAGAAAGCCCTTATCCTAGGTAGCGGTGGTCTCAGTATCGGACAAGCTGGAGAGTTTGACTATTCTGGAAGTCAAGCCATAAAGGCTTTGAAAGAAGAAGGAATTTACACCGTCCTTATTAACCCCAATATCGCGACGATTCAGACTTCCAAGGGCCTTGCAGATAAGGTCTATTTCTTACCAGTCAACGCAGACTTTGTCCGCAAGGTTATCAAACACGAACGGCCAGATGCCATCTATGTAACATTTGGCGGCCAAACTGCGCTCCAGGTTGGTATTCAGCTCAAAGATGAGTTCGAGGAACTTGGCGTTCGAGTTCTTGGTACTCCGATAGACACCATCATTACGACAGAAGACCGCGAGTTATTCGCGAGAAGCATGGAAGCCCTTGGTGAGAAGTGCGCCAAATCCGCCTCTGCTTCCACGCTCGAGGAAGCCATGGAAGTTGTCAAGGATATTGGATTTCCCGTCATTGTCCGTGCTGCGTACGCTCTTGGTGGCCTTGGAAGCGGTTTCGCCGAGGATCCTGAGCAGCTGCGGGAGCTGTGCACAAAAGCCTTCGCTGCAAGCCCACAGGTTCTTATTGAGAGGAGTATGAAAGGGTGGAAGGAGATTGAATATGAAGTGGTCCGCGATGCTCGTGATAACTGCATCACTGTGTGTAACATGGAGAATTTTGATCCGCTTGGTATCCACACTGGCGATTCTATTGTCGTCGCCCCGTCGCAAACCCTTTCTGATGAGGACTACAATATGCTTCGAACGACTGCTATCAATGTCATCCGCCATCTGGGTGTGGTGGGTGAATGTAACATTCAATATGCATTGAACCCATTCTCAAAAGAGTATTGCATTATTGAGGTCAATGCTCGCCTGTCAAGATCATCTGCACTCGCATCTAAAGCAACAGGCTATCCCCTCGCTTTCGTCGCGGCTAAACTTGGCCTCGGAATCCCGCTGAATGAGATTTCAAACTCAGTCACCAAAGTCACATGTGCCTGCTTTGAACCTTCTCTTGATTATGTCGTCGTTAAGATTCCCCGCTGGGATCTCAAGAAGTTTACCCGTGTCTCCACGCAGCTCGGGTCTTCAATGAAGAGTGTTGGGGAGGTTATGAGCATTGGACGGACTTTTGAGGAGGCCATTCAGAAAGCCATACGTTCTGTCGACTTTCACAATCTTGGGTTCAACGAGACCAACGCACTCATGTCGATTAAGGCTGAGCTTCAAACACCTTCCGATCAGCGACTGTTCGCTATCGCCAACGCCATGCATTCGGGCTACACTGTCGACGATATCTGGGAATTGACCAAAATCGACAAGTGGTTCCTCCGAAAATTGAAAGGCCTCAGCGATTTTGGAAAACTAATGTCTGGTTACAACGCCACTACAGCACCCATTTCTCTCATTCGACAGGCGAAGCAGCTCGGTTTCTCGGACCGGCAACTGGCGAAGTTTTTGAGCTCCAATGAGTTGGCTATCAGGCGACTGAGAGTGGAAGCAGGCATTGTGCCCGTGGTCAAACAAATTGATACCGTCGCTGCTGAATTCCCGGCATTCACGAACTACTTGTATCTGACATACAACGGCTCCGAAAACGATGTGGACTTTAACGACCAAGGTGTTATGGTTCTTGGCTCTGGTGTCTACAGAATTGGATCCTCTGTCGAGTTTGATTGGTGTTCTGTGCGAGCCATTCGAACTCTTCGAGAGCAGGGTTTTAAGACGGTGATGGTGAATGTAAGTCGCATCACGTCGTTCCTCCCTTTTTGGACAACCCTACTTTTCGCCTCCCCTTCCCCCTTTTTTCCCACCTCGACAATTGTCTTTTCCCTCATCTTCCCACGCCTTCACACCATCTTCCAGGTTCACAATCTCCTAGATTTCACCATCTCCTATATTTCTCAAAAGCTCTGCAAGATTTCCCAAAAGCTCCCCAAGGTCCTCTGCTGCTCTGCCTCCACCAGTTTGTTTCCTGGTTGCTTGCTCCTGAGACGATTCGATTTCTATGGCTTCTCCTGTGTTCTCTGCTCCGACGGTATTCAAGCTCATCAGCTTGTTGCTTGGAAATGCCTTTGTGATCCCCGTCCACGCTTCAAACATCCTCTATTTGCAACTTCTATAGCCAGGAAGAGCTGGAGGCAATTGCTGAGGGGATCTCTCTCTCTCTCCTTTGTCTCCGGCATTTTTGACCTGCTGAAAGCCCCAAACCCCGCCCTTCGAGTACTCTCGGTCCCTCTTTCCTGATCCCATCCTCTCCTGGGTTATCTACGCTATTACAATGGAAAATCCCGGAAAGCGCCCTCGACTTTACTAGGGCCCGCAACGCCAACTGGGACGCCCACATACTTTGGGGTACGCTCTCGCCTCAAGCAATACGATGATGGTGTCTTTCTTCCCAATTTGGTCAAATCTGCATTGGACGAGGGATATTCCATCACCAACAAGGGGCTACTCTGCTGACTCTGTGACCACCCGAATCTCTGCAACCTGCCAGCCGCCTGATGTTTCTAATTCTCGAAGCCACCCTTGCACATATTCTGGGCGATGAGTGCGAAAATGGAAACTACAGGATGGGCCATATCTGTTTTTGGGATCGCGAAAAACTCGAATATGACGGCGTCTGCAGTCATTGTGCTTTGGACGAAGGCATTCGCGGCGAGTTCGACCTGTCTCCTGAGGAATATGAAATATATGCAAAAGAACGCGAAATCAAGCATCGTGAAATCCACCGGGACGGCAATTCAAGCTGGCATTATAAGCAGATGGCAGGGAACTATCCGGATTATATTGAGGCAGCCCATGAGCGAGTGAAGCGATCCAGAGCGAACAACCCAGATAGACACTTGGAGACAGGGCAAGCGGAGGAAAGTTTAAGTGGAGCAGCAGACATATCATTGCAAGCTCTGCGACCTTTCCTTTACATGCAGAAATTGGCTGAATAAGCATGATAAAACTGCGAAGCATCTCCGGA